AAAAACATTTTAAAATCGCACAAGGCAGTCAATACCAGTCTTAGATATGTGGCTGCATATCTTGTTAAAGGGATACTGCCAACTTGAATGGCACATTTCCATCTCAAACTTTTGTAGCTACTATGGTTACAAGTAATACCTAAAATCACCACAACTGAAAGAAGTGATTGATACTTTTTTGTCTCTTTTTAAAATTTACGTTGTGCATTTGACAGTACTGTGTGTATCGTCTGTTTCACTTTTTCTCCTGTATAGTCAGGTTTTTTCATATTGAAAAGATCCTTATAAAGACATCAGCTGGGAAGCAGAAAATCTCTCAACACATTTAAAAAAAAAATCTAGGATATCCTGTTTAAAGAGTGCTCTACCAGAAAGTGTAATTTTTAAAAAAATTAGCTCATTTTACGAAATTCAAGTTGACGTTCTCCATTTCAATGAATTACCTTCCCTGTATGTGCAAATGAAATAGATGATGTACATTTTAATATCCTGAAACCTCAACCCCAATTGTGAAGGACCTACCTACTAATACTTCACTCTCCAGGTCCATCCTTTCTGTGGTTTCTCTGCTAACGCTGCAAATGATGGTGTTTAAAAAAGTTCACCTATTGTGGTTACTATTCACAATCAATGTTTTAGTTCTCAAGGTCCCAAGATTGAAGATAAATCTTTTTTTTTTTTTTTTTAACCCCAGCAGCATGTGTGCCAGAACAGTGTTAGTCCACTGACTGGGATGTTGTGAACATTTTTGCTGAAGTGTTGAGTTACTACAGATGTGGTAGAGGTTTCTGGGGTTGGATTTCTTTAATGTTCTACCAAACTGCCCATGATATGACTTTACAACTCCCTTCCACCCTTCAATATCATACAGTTTATTGCATTCTTGACTTCCATTGAAATGCAGGCAAGTGTTCTCAGAATGAAAGCGAAAGTCTAGGCCCGTGAATTTCTGATGGCAATGAGGAATTCACATGTTCTGTACTACAGTAAGAGCTGTAACAATTTATTCTGAGTGTGTTCCAAAGTTCTTTGATGTCAGGGGGAGTTTTTCTATGCACTCCAATGGGTTTTGGATCAGTCTGTTTGTGGACCAGATTAACCCTCACATATTCTGACTACTGCTTCTTGCCTTGAAACTAAGTGACTGCCGAGTTTTTGGAATGTTTAGTGCAAAATGTTCTTTTTTTTGTCTTATTTAGTGTAAAACTCAAACTCCAAAAAAATTGAAGTGCTGCTTTCTTTTGCTTGTAGCACAGAAATCCTACCTCTACAGCCAGCAATTGGCTAAGAGTGAAATTTCCAGGTGGCTTCATGAATGCTTGGCAAATGAACGGTTACTTCTTTTTAACATGCCTGCAAGAGAAAGCATCAAGTTCTTCTGCTTCTGTGGTTCATGATATCACTGCAGTTCTCCTCTCCTTCCATGCATATGTCTGCTCAGTAAATAAATCCATGATTGAAGAGTCATGCATCCCACTGAAAACCTTCTGCTCACAATATAGGAGAAACGTGCAGAACATGAGAAGATAAGAACATTGGCAAGTATATGGTTAGCTAGCATACTCTCTGCTCCTCTGCCATTGTTAATGATCGGAAAGAATAAAAAGCAACGCTCTGCATTTTACAGAAAGCTGATTCCTCTGTTCAGAAAATCTTGCTTTGCCAGTATTGCCCTCCTGTGGGGTTTTACAGCAGAGTGAAGTGGTATTAATTTCAAATGGTAATGAATAGCTGGATTGTTGGGGCTCTGTACACAAGATCCACCAGGGACACCAGTTATAAAATGTCTCTTGACCACTGAGATTCTCAGATAATTCTTCAGCTGCAGAACTCATCCATAAGGGGTTTTACCTTGTGCATGTGTAAGATTGTTTGCATAGGCTGACCCTGGGCTAAGACAGGGGTTTACAAATCACGTTGCCCGATTTCTGCTTGTTCAAATTCTTCTCTCCTCTGCTGAAAAATCCTCATGAGCCCCCAAGCCACGTGTTAAAGTCCTGATACCATGTCTGCATCGCTTCAGAGCTGAGCACCTGCATGTCCATACAATTCCCCGTCTTCATATTTGCAAGATTCCCAACCTGGGTTTGTGCTGGTCACACTGCAATCCGCCCTTCACTCAGACAAGACTCTCACCACCCAGGAAGAGAATGTAGGAACATTTAGCAGCTTGTTTTTGCAATAGGAGGTATAAAGAGTGGATGATTGTCCAGTGTCATCATCTCTATAAAGAAGAGGTGTGAAAAACTTCCCAGTCCATAAGGTTCCTTCATAAGAATAGGTCTTCCTTTGTGCCATGCTGTGAGAAAATGCTTATAGAAGGATTCTGGCTAAGGTGGCATCCGAGATAGAGGATCCTTCTTTCAGAGTATAGTCTTTTATCTGTGAGAGCCTTATGAAGAGGGACAGAACAAATTAAACATCATCGCACTCACTCATAGATAAGTTTCACCATGAGCTAGCTAGCAAGCTGAACCAGCAAGGATGTAGGAGGTGCGGGAGCCAGGGATGGGGGAAATGTGTTGGCCAAAGGCTTGGTGGACACTCAACATCTACTGGAAGAAACATACACCGTCTCTGTAAGGGAGGAAAACTCGCTCTTCCCAGTTCCTGCGTTAGTTAACGTAGGGCCATCGGAATCGCTATGTGGAGGAAACTGATGTGCAATTGAAAGCAAAATTGCACGGTGCTGGCCAGCAGCAAGTTGGGGAAGGGGTTTATACATTAAAAAAAATAGACCTCTTCTTCTGGGCTGGTGGCTGTGATGGACCTTGGGGTGATGTTTACGTGCTAAGAGGAAATATCGTATACGTTTGCACTATTTATCTCTTGCCACAAGCCATCGTAGAAACAGGAGCCTGTCCTAGAAAGTGCTATTATTGGATTATTCTTTCCTTAAATAAAATGTTTCCAGAAGCTTTAAAGGACTTTGCATCTCTGAGACGGGGGAGGCAGGTTCCTTGATCTTACAGGAGTTGGAATGAGAAGATGTCTAGATCTTGTACCAGGAAGAGCATTTACAGTGGGTGGCTGCCGGGCTGCATCATTCTCCGGTTCCATTCATTCCTCGTTATTTCTATTCATGACATGCTAGGAGGGGAGAGAAAGACAGGGACATTTTTAGAGGGCAAATTGTAAGAAATCTTATGCCTTGAAAGCCAAATAGCTAAGCATCCCAAAGAATATGGATAAGTGGGAGTTTAATCCTCCATAAAATTCTGCAAGCCAAATACATGTCAGGCCACCTCATGAAGGCATTCCTTTTCCAAAACTCCTATCAGGGCCGGCTCCAGGCACCAGCCAACCAAGCACGTGCTTGGGGCGGCACCTGGTAAGGGGCGGCCAATGCTGGGGTGGCGGTTCAGCAGTGCGGCGCTTCGTGGGGGGCGGGGGTGTTCGGCAGCGCGGCGCTCGGGGATGTTCGGCGGCGCGGTGCTTGGCAGGGGTTTTGGTGGCGCGGCGCTCGGCGGGGGTGTTCGGGAGCGCGGCGCTCAGCGGGGGGTGTTCGGCGGCGCACCGTGCAGGGGGGTTCAGCAGCATGGCGCTCGGCGGGGAGCGGGGGCTGTTCGGCGGCGCGGCGCTCGGCGGGGGGGTTTCGGCGGCGCGGCAATCGGTGGGGGGGTGTTTCGGTGGGGCGGGGCTGGGGGGGGTGTTACGGCGGGGCGGCGCTATGGGCATTTTGCGGGGTCCAAAACTGCAAAGTTTTATTTGCCCAAAGTAGTGCTTATTCCTGTATGTAGCCCATTGATGTCTATGGTCTACTCACATGAGTAAGAGTGGCAGGGTCACGTTTAATGTGGCCCTTAAGAACGCTAGGTATTTCCTACGCTGTGATCTATACATTCCCTTATGTGCTGTAAATTACAGCTGTTCCACTTTTTAAACATTATGCGTGTTGTCCAGTAGACTTTTAGGGGTTGATGTTTGTTTCCTTCCACCAGTTGTATGATCCTTGATGTTAATGAGCATTTCTAACTGGTGACAGTAACTTCTGATGGCCAGGACTTAAACATAATCAATGCAGGCCACTACTTGGGGCCCGCTGACTGGCCCAGCCTCGCTCTCTGGTAGCAGGGCAGGAGACGATAAAAAGTTCCCTGGCTCATCGCTTTTTGCATCTCATAATACATACTTTCCTGCAGCGAGAGATCATTCGAAGCCCAGTGTCTCCATCCAGCAGCTCAAGGACTCGCTAACGCTAAACCCAGCCCAACCCTTCCTAATGGGCCACACGTTTCTCTGCTATTAAACTCCATCAGCGAGATGCTTGTGTCTCCAGCAGGTGTTTGTGTGCTTGAGGATAGTGGGGGCATTAAGGAATGCCAGTCAGGGCGCGTCTACACTGTAGCACTTCAGTGTAAACGCTTGTTACAGCGATGGGAGGGGTTCTCCCACCGCCGTCATGAATCCACCTGCCCCCGAGGGCGTTGCTAGGCTGACAGAAGAACTCTCCTGGTGACCTAGCAGTGTCTACACTGGGGGTTAGGTCAGCTTAACTACATCGCTCAGGGGCGTGGACTTCTCACATCCCTGGGCGACATAGCTGGGTCTACTTTTGAGTGTAGACCTGGCCCTAGTAATGCTTGATGAACCTCAGCTTAATCCCAAGAGGACAACTCTGCTAATTCCGCTAGACCCAGAGCACAGCCAAGATCTTTGTATGCCAACTAATGGCATAATTAAGGGCAACAAAAATGTTGAAAGGGATTTTAAACCTTGTCCTTCAGGGATTAAGCCAATCTCTAACCATTACAGCTCCGGGTGATTCGCCCACAGTGTCTACAGCAGGGTTCTTGCACCTTCCTGGAAAGCATTTGGCACCGGCTACTGTCAGAGACAGGCCCCTGGGCTAGATGGACCTTGGATCAGATCCAATCTGGCAATTCCTATGTCCCTATAAGTAATATCGTTGCAGCATTTGCTGGTAGGCATGTAAAGAAGTGTCATTGCATGGCAGAAAGAACGAAAACAAATTTTAAATTCTGAATTAGAAATACGTTTCATTCCAACCTGGTTTCCTGATCCTCCCTCGGCAGCACAGGCCTGCTTGGGAGACAAACATTGCAGTGAATACGCAAATCTGCACTACACACCGCTCATCCTCAACTAACAGTCCTAGAGTCTTATGTGGTTCTTTGGAGTTGACACGGGCAGCTCCAGTGGAGTCTCCCAGGTTTGATCTTACCCTGGGGAGGGAATAGCAGGAAGACCCACCTTCCCCTTCAGGAGTAGAAAGGAAAGACTCTGTGTTAAATAGAGTCGGAGCCAAAGCCGTCAAATAATCATGGCGTGAGGTCTTGACACTGCAGTCTGACATTTGTCATTGCTTTGTGATGATGCGGGAGGGTCATATTCTGCTTCTAGCTGCACCCAGGAGTTGCCCAGCTTTACCTGGCAGCAGAATTTGGCCCTTTCCTTTGCAGTGACGCAACATCAGAGACAAACATTGCTACGCAGTGTCAGGAGACCACTCCGTGTGACGTTGTGGGTCTCTGGCTCCATTCCCTGACCACAGCGTGTTTCCAGCTCTATGAAGTTGAAGAGCACTGCCAGGAGTCCATTCAGACAGATGAAAACCAATAACGGAGCAAGATCAAGCTGATCCATGTATTCTTTATACAGTCACAGTACAGAAAATATTTCAATCTCTAGAACAGGAGGTGGGCTCATCAGAGGTGGGACCCGGGGGAGGTGCTAGGCTTAGAGAATTCGCTAACTTGGACAATTCCCAAATGCCTGGGAATCACACAGCTGTGTTTTAAGATCATTCCCCAAAGGGCTGTCTGATAGTTTCAGGGGGTGGCACTTCAGAGAGCTACCCGTCAGCTGCACCCCTCTGCAAATTTCTGTTTCCAGAAGATTGTTGCCACGTTTATGTCTATAAAGATGTTGACAAACACATGTGGGTGGGGTTTTTCCTGGTGTAAATGAGAGGGAGAAACTGGCAAAGGCAAAGTCCCAGGCTGACGTAAGGAATTAAATCTTACCCCAAATGGGGGCTGAACGGCTGTGATGCAATAAAGGTTTGTAAAGTCCTCCCTTTACTCATTGCCTTTGGGCTAAGAGCAAGGTAGAATCAATTTCCCTGCAGGGACAGCATGGATTCCAAAAGTCTCTCGTTTCCTTTCTCACTAAATCTTCTTAGGATTGCCAGGTGTCCGGGTTTCAACCGGACGGTCCAATTGCAGTATCCGGTCAGATGTACTGACCAGACACCAAAAGTCTGGTTACCGCTTGGGGAGGGGGGAGGCACCAGGTCATTAACCCATGCTAGTCCCTGCTCAGCCAGGACCGCCTCCTACCTGCATCTTGTGGGCAGGCAGGATCTGTGTCAGGCGCTGCAGCTCCTGACCCAGCCCCAGAGCAGAGGGAGGCCAGCTGGTGGGGGGAGGGAGGTGGAGAGGATCGAGTGACGAGGAAGCGGGAGAGCAGTGAGAGACAGGGGAGGGGTGGAGAGGAGCGAGCAGGGGCGGGGCCTCGTGGGAAGAGGCGGAGCAGGGGGTGGGGCCTCCGGGGGATACGCGAGGCAGGGGGTGGTGGGGGAGGGGAGAGGTTCCGGCGCTCCTGCTTTAGGGTCCGGTTTTCAGAAATTAGAAAGTTGGCAACCCTAAATCTTCTCTTGGTTCCCGAGAACAACTCTCTCTGCCCCTGGTTTCACATCCCTTGATACGCGAGTCCCCGGATTATCTAGGCCAGAGCTCCCTGGCTTCAGTGACTCAGGAGGGATTTGCACTGTAACATGCTGTCTTTCCACTGTGGTCCATGAACACCCAGTTGAGCAATCCCCTGCATTGGGGTGTGGGGTTTGATGGCAGCAATTGACTTTGTGAGCTGCTACACAATAGGATTGTTGGTTATCCTAAGAGCACACTGGTCTTTAGTAGGGTTAGAATCTTCTCGAAGCATGCACCAGCCAAGTTCCATGGCCAAGGGTGTTCCCTTCCTTTTCTTTCTGGAGAGCTCGCTGATTTGCTAGCTAGATTTTCCCCGGTAGCTTTTATCACAATATTTTCAACCACTATTAGCACCATGGAACAGAACTGATAACCATGAACAAGGCAGGAGCTGAGGTGCAGAGTCATTGCATTCGGCTTGCCGCCAAGTGCAGGGTATTTACCTGTCTTTCTCTGCCATGTCTTGTTTCTCCTCTGCCCTGTAACGATAAAACGTATTTGAAATCTACCGAGTGGGAGCAGCCAACGTGAAAGGGATGCACTGGATTCTCCAGCACATGCAGCTTCTAAATCAAGACTGGACATCTTTCTGAACGAGAGGCTGTGTCTCCACCTAACATGATTTGGCCTGATGCAGAAGTTTTCCTAGAGTAAATGAATCACAGAATATCAGGGTTGGAAGGGACCTCAGGAGGTCATCTAGTCCAACCCCGTGCTCAAAGCAGGACCAATCCCCAGCCAGATTTTTACCCCAGTTCCCTAAATGGCCCCCTCAAGGATTGAGCTCACAACCCTGGGTTTAGCAGGTCAATGCTCCAACCACTAAGCTATCCCTCAATAGGAGAGGCTCTTCAACCAGTGTTACGCAGGAGGTCAAGCTAGATGATCATAATGGTTCCTTCTGGCCTTAAATCTATGATTCTATTAAAATATCGAGATCCAGACCTTTCCATTTTCTCTCGCTTATTACAGATCAATTTCGCCTTTATGGTAGGGTATAGTGTTCTGAAGATGTAAAGCGCTATGTACCTATATTGCTCATTACAGTCCTGATGTTGCAGCCATTACTCGAGTGAGTCTCCCAGGACTAGCCCTTTGAGACTGCTGGCTGCTCTAATTTTATGTTCGTGGCGGTTTTTGAGCTTTAGAGAATCTTGCAGTTTTTTTGTTTGATCAGCTCAAGCATTTTAAAGTAACTGATTACTTCTTCTTTTGACCCTCTGACCGCACTCCTGTCCCTGTTATTTCTTTAGTTGTCCCCCGAAATCAGTTGGGTTTCAGGTCCTGTTGATCCTCCCCTTAGGCTGGGGGGGGGATCCTTTAGCAGTGGGCGGGCTTCTGCCCGCCCACTTCCCGGACCCCAGTAGGTACTTCTAATAACTTGGGGCTAGAGTCTGGCAACCTTATTTCTGTGGAGTAGCCTCTTACTCATGGGTGAAACTGTGACCCCAATGGGAGTTTTGCCATTGACTTCAGTGGAGCCAGGAATCAATGCAGAGAAATGCAGGCCTGGCAGAATCTGACCTTTAGGCTTGGGTTACACACAGGTTTTGCACTGATATAACTCTTTCGATTAGGGGGTGATTATTTTTTAATCAAAATAGTTACATTTGTAGTGTGGACGCAGTTATACTGGTTATAAAGGTGCCCTGTACCTTCCTGTAGAAGCTAGACTGGTATAAGCCCCTTTCATACCTGTCTAACTGTATCCACACTAGAGGGGGGTTGTACTGATTTGAACTCTAACAGTACAGGGAAAGTGATACGATTTTGGGGGGGAGAGGCAAGTCCCGAGAGAGGTAAATAGGATTTTATTTAAGCATGTAGTCCAGTGGTCCTCAACCTTTTTAGTATGGCGGGTGCCAGACGACGAGCCACCGAGGACCATGGCCGGCGGACGAGCATCCGCCAAAATGCCACGAGAAGCGGCAACGTCAATAGGCGTCGCCGCCGAAATGCCGCCGACAAGCAGCGTCATCCAGAGGTGTCGCCACCGAAAATCGGCAGCATTTCGGCAGCAATGCCTCTGGATGACGCTGCTTGTCAGCAGCATTTTGGCAGATGCTTGTCCGCCGGCCAGTACGCGGGCGCACATAGATGCCCCGGCGGGCGCCATAGTGCCCACGGGCACCGCATTGGGGACCACTGATGTAGTCACATGCATTTTCAAATATTGGTCAGTTTTTCAATAGCTCCTTAACTGTGAAGGGTCCATGGAACTGGGTGGCTTTAACGGGTTGGAGGACTGTGAGTGGCCCCTCTTAAAAGTGTGTGTGGGGGCCCCCGGCGCCTGAACCATGGTCCTGCCCCTTGGGCCATCCCTTCTCCCCGAGCAGCAGGGTGTGGCCAACAGGGAGAGGAAGCCAGGGTTCGAGCACCAGCCAATGTATCAAGATCATTTTGAATTCTAATCCTGTCCTCCAAAGTGCTTGCAACCCCTCCCTGTTTGGTATCATCCCAAAGTTTATAAGTGTCCTCTCTGTGCGATAATCCAGATCATTTGTGAAGACATTGAATAGAACTGGACCCAGTACAGATCCGTGTGGGACCCCACTCAATATGCCCTTCCAGCTAGACTGTGAACCATTCATAACTTCTCTCTGAGTACAGGTTTCCAATCAGTTGTGCATCAACCCTATAGTAGGTTTGTCTAGGTTATATTTCTCTCGTTTGTTTATGAGAGGGTCACGTCGCAGGGCCGTCCCTAGCTATTCTGGGGCCCTACGCAGCCCCCCCGCGGGGTGTGTGTGGGGCCCCAGGCCTCCGCGGGGGGAGGGACGGGCCCCAGGCCTCCGCGGGGGAGGAGCGGGGGGGCGGGCCCCAGACCTCCACGGGGAGGGGGCTGGCTTGGGGGGCAGGGGGGAACCATCCCCCAGCACTCACCGGCGGCGCAGCTGGGGCCGGGTCCGCACTTCCCGCCGCCGCTGAGTGCAGGCCCGGCCATGCTGCAGAGGTCAGCGGAGTGGGGAAGGGGCAGGGGCAGGGGTGGAGCTGGGCAGGGGCTTAGGGGAAGGGGTGGAGTGGGGGCGGGGCTGGGGCAGAGCAGGGGCGGGGGCCCTGGGGAAGAGGCGGAGCAGGGGCTGGAGCAGCACACAGCTGTGCAAGGCACCAGGAAATGTGGTGCCCCAAACTTCCTAGTGCCCTATGCAGCTGCGTACTTTGCGTATGGATAAAGGACGGCTCCGCTCACGTGGATAAAGTTACTTGTGCGCACCAAATGGGCGTATTTGCCTGCCAAAGTTTTCTCGTGTGTAAGCGTTTGCAAGTCGGGGGCATAATTCTTACTTGGGTTGTTGTGCTTTTGATCCGGAATGGTCACCATGACCAGCGTTCCTCCTCCCAGGTTGTTAACATTTGATTGGTTCTGTCTATGGTAGGGAGTCCCAGGCATGATGAGGCATTTTGTTGTACTAAACCTCACTGGACGCATGCTAACTCGGCTAGCTTTGCTTCCTTCCCTTATCTCCCTCTGCCTTTAGTATAGGGACTGTCAAGATAATGGATGCTATTGTCACTAGTTGCGGCAATATATCCTAATTCCGTATGATTGTTTTTATCGGCTGGGATGGCTTAAGACATGGAAATAAAACAAACTAGGATACAATGGGCCCAATTCTCATTTATAGTAAGGTCCCTTTACACCTCTCTGGCCTTAATGAGAGCATAAATTACATTTCCTGCCACGTTACACCACCGTGGTGAGGTAAAACAGCCTTAAAGAGGTTTTAGGGCTTGTGTGGACAGGAAGTGGTTCCTGATTAACTCCATGTGTGGTATTCCAGAATAAGAGCGTCCACACACGAAATTAGTCAGGGACAGTTAAGCAGGAATAACTTCTTGTGTAGACCAGCCCTTTGCCTAACTGAGAACTGGGCTCCGTAGTTCCACTGCAGGTTTATTCTGGGGGCCTGTTTTTGTGCAGCGTTGAAGTATTAGTGGGGGGACAGGTTCTTCCTAGGAATGGAAGGTGAGGGTTGAAATTACCACAGGGGGCATCTTCACTAGGAAAAACGGTACATTGTTAACTCAAGTTCGCTAACCAGAGGTAAAGTCCTAGTGGGGACAAGGCAGTTGGCAGGTTTCACCCAAGTTAGCAGGTTGAGTTCAAACCTATGGGGAAGCCTGGGGTTTGCAGCGTGGGTCTGTTCTGAATGAATATCTGGAAAAGTCAAATACAGACCAAACAGGTTGCCTGGGTTATGAGGAACACAGAATTTACTGGCTGTAACTCCCATAGGAGAAATCTTTAGGACAATAGGAGCCCCATTCCCCCAAAAGCTGATTTTTACCTTTCTTTCCTGGCTTTGGTTCTCTCTTCTTCGTACCTGCAACGAACAAGAGAGATTTCCTTAAATGTCCCCGCAGCATTCACTCTAAAGGCGGAAGAGCCTGGGGCAAGCAATGGCTCCAGAATACAAAGAGTTAATGTCTTCTCTCTCTTGCATTTCCTGCCTGTAGGAATGGGGAAGCTTGAGGCACAGAGAGGGTAGGACTTGCCCAAGGCCAAGCAATGTCGTCTAATCCCAAACTGGGATTAGATGACAGCCAGGCCTCCTGAATGCCAAGCCTTGATCACAGGTCCATCCTTCCTCTCTGAAGCACGGGGAAAAGCCGGTGCACATGGTGAGGAACTAATGGACGGTGGCCCCCAGAGTTGCCAAGTTTTCAAGTAAGAGGTCCCTGTGATACTTACTGTAGGAGGCAGTCAGGAATCTGGACGTGCTCCATGGGGATAGTCTGCTCCAGTTCTTCCAGACTGTGAACGTACTGGATCTTATTGATAAACTTCACACTGACCGAGGAAGAGAACATGCACCCTTTAAGAGCTTATTCTGACTTTCCCCCTTCATAGAACGGTGGCTAGGTGGGACATACATCCAGATCCGATTGAAGTCTATGGGCGTTTTGCTGTTGATTTCAATGCAACTGGGATGTGACCCAAAACGAAGGCTTCTCTTTAGCCAGAGGCTGCAAACAGTTCAGACAGCTAGAGCGGGGTTCTCCTGCTCCCAACTTTATTCCACCCTTTTGATGGTAACTTTTGCTGGGAGAGGATGGCTGGGGGGGTGAGCTGTGAGTGCCTCTCCTAGGAGTTTTTACACCAGTCTCTATAGTGACCCCTGCTGGGAGAGGCTGGAGCTAAGGCATCTGGGACTTCTCAAAGAACCAGAGCTCTTGCACCGGGTCTTACACTAACTCCTGGGGGGAGAGAATTTGGCCTAGAGTCCTCCATGCTAGAGCACCCACCCGGCCCACGTCAGGAGCTGGCCCAGCCGTTCCTTTAGTTGTTATAAGAACTTGATAAAAACAAAAACAAAAACAAAAAAACCCCTCCAGCAGCATCTGGACACCTTTCCCCTCTCCCAGTGAGCAAATTTCCTGCCACAAAAATCCAGCCTCCCTTTCTGGCTGCCTCAGTAGGGTAACAGGAACACAGAGCGAAGGTCCATCAAGCTCAGTATCCTCTCTCTGACTGTGACCAGTGCCAGATGCTTCAGAGGAAGGGGGGAGAACCCTGCACTAGACCCAGGTGGGATAATCTGCCCCTTTGTATAGCCCTCACCCTGCTCTCTAACATGTAGAGATTGGCACAAGGTTTAATTGCCTTTCCAAAACCCACTGGGATGCGGGAGAGTTCTTTGTTCACCTGATGAAGGGCCTGGATATTGCCAGCACTGTCCGGATGAACCACGAAGGATGCACGATTATCAAAGCTTTCAGGTTTTTCCGTAGCCTGCGGAAAGGCCAGAGGCGAGAGGTTAGACGCAGAACTCCTGGAGGCCCCCCGTGGGACTCCGTGGATTTCACGGGTTTACTCTGGTGCCGGGGCAGAATTGGGCCCACAGGATCACATACGTTAGAGAAGGAGAAGACCTGCTAGGGCAGAGTCCTGCCGCCTTTAGCTGTTGTAGGAATGTTCCTACAGTATAGTCTTCAGCACCTCACCCAGGCCACTCTGATGATAATAGGGCCTCCACCACGTCCGTTGGAAGAGGAAAGAGAAAATCTGTTCCAGTCCTAAAGCAGCAACGGGCTAGTCACACAAAGGGTCTTAGGCTGGTCCTCTAACGTTTAGGTGCCTAGAGAATCGCTGGGATTCACAGGGCCTGAATTCGGGGCCTGGGCTTGCTATACAATGAATGGGGCGAGACAGGCGCCTCAGACCGGGAATCACAAAAGCCAGCGCTCTAGGAGGCTCCTTGCCCAAGCTAGCTAGAGGGAGTGTCCTGCCCCACCCCTTTCATGGAGATAGGTTCCTCCTTCTGCCTGGGATTTACCAACCTTCTAGTGAAAAAGTTTTTCCTAATATCCAACCTAAACCTCCCCCACTGCAACTTGAGACCATTACTCCTTGTTCTGTCATCTGGTACCACTGAGAACAGTCTAGATCCATCCTCTCTGGAACCCCCTTTCAGGTAGTTGAAAGCAGCTATCAAATCCCCCCTCACTCTTCTCTTCTGCAGACTAAATAATCCCAATCCCAATCCCAAATACATGCTTGTATTTAATACTCCTGTGAAATATAACCAATAGAAGGGACGACACAGCATCAAAGTCTAATGTGAAAACGACCCTGTGTTTTCTTGTTTATGGACCCCCTGGTCTGTATATGCTGCATCTTTGTCTTCATATACACCTCTACCTCGATATAACGCTGTCCTCGGGAGCCAAAAAATCTTACCGCGTTATAGGTGAAACCGCGTTATATTGAACTTGCTTTGATCCGCCGGAGTGCGCAGCCCCCCCCCCCCGGAGCAGTGCTTTACCGCGTTATATCCGAATTCATGTTATATCGGGTCGCGTTATATGGGGGTAGAGGTATATAACAACGTGGGGCAGGTTGCGAAGTGTGAACACGGTAATCAGGAATGAATGACCAGTGAGTGGAAGGAGGAAGCAGGCCCAACAGTTCCTCCTGCTGGGGCCCATTCAGCGCTGCGGGCTGGCTTTCCCAGTGCATCACTTCGAAAGAGTCCCGGTGCCTCCTGGGAGATGTGGAATGATACCAGGTGAGAAACAATTGACTGTCCCCTTTTTGCCGGGAGGGATGGATCCGTGCCCACGGGACTTGCCGTGCTCAGCAGTTCATCTGCTGCTGCTTTATCTGCACTTTAAATCCCACCCCCTAGAGGTGGGGTCCCAGTCCTCTGTATGCATCCAGTCCTAACATACCTTACGTGGGTGCATAAGAGCCAAAATCAGCGTTACAGCTTTGGGGCTGAGTCTCATTTCCACTAAGGCTCCTTTGCATTGTTTTGGTAGTGCCTTAAGCTGGGTGTATCGTGCAGTGGACAATCATGGAAATAACCTGCCCACAGAGGGCGTTCCTCACCTTCTGTCTATCATCTGGTAGCATTTCTTCAGCCAGCCCAGGCCCGGCATCCTCCGACGTGGTGTGGCTCCATTCAGGTACACGATCATGTAGTCCTCTGCCACCAGCAGCTCCAAGCTACTGATCACGTACCTATCGGGTGGAAATCCAAAGCGGCCATGGAGTGGGATTGCTTCAATACATACAGCGGGGTTTCTGTGTTTGTTTGTATATACCCTCTCTCCCAGCCCCACCAGGCTGATTCTTCTCCAATCTATTCTGACTCTGTATTGCGACCCAGGTCGCTGTCTTTGGCCACAAGAAGGTTCAAAGGAACATTGTAACTGAAAAACTGACCCGTCTGTCTTTGTGGGTTTTGAGACTTGGAGAAGATGTTTCAAATCCACCGTGAGGCACCTTTGCAGGAGCCATGGAGGGGTGTGTTTAAGTGGGGCCTAGAGATCAGGAACGGTGGTCCATACGTTTATGTCCATAAGTTCCTTTGCACAGCAGTAGCCGCAGATGGATAATTTCTACTCTGGGCATGCATTTATTGCTGGCCAGCATACGGCCGCACCTTAATGCTATATGTGAAGCTGCTGTGAGGTATCTGTGTTGGGTCAGAATTTGGACCATTGGGCATGTAGGAGGACACTGTGGACATCAGGTTATCCTGTAGTATTCAGCCAGATACACAGCAGCACCCTGTACAACTGGCATGGATTCCACCTTGCCTAGTTTCCCAGTTGAGGTGCTCCATGTAAAGTCCCAGTGAGTGGCACAGATACTGAGGTTACCCGGGGACCTGGGACACTTCTTGCCTCCCCTCCATCATGCAACTTGGCGTAGTCACTTACAAGAAGAGGTTCTCCATGATGTAATGGTAATCAGCTAGATTGCTGTCTGGGAGATAGCAGGCAGCAAAGACAATGATAGCATTGAGACCTTCTCCGTAGTACCCTAATAGAGAAAGAGATGGACAGCATGGCCACTTGAGTGAGAAAGAGGCAGGCGGTCAAAACGGAAAACAACAAAGCGCTTCTGCAGCCAGGCCTGTGCTTATGCTGTGTTGTGGGACACCACCCCATCCACAGAGAAGTGTCCTGACCCTGCGCTGAATTCCCATTGACCTCCATGCAGGAGCAACTATGGAGGATCATGGCCTGGGAGAGATGCAACGAAACGTTTGCTTTGTTGTATTAGTTTATAAAGCTCCTGTTGCTGTAGCAGCTCAGGGCTTATTTGTAAATAACTATGGCTTGCAGAGTGCCCCAAAGCTGTGGGGATGAGGATTTTGGCAAATCCCCAAGGAAATTGGATTCCAGAGGTAGAGGCCATCGACTGAGAGCGCCCAGTTTATGAGCCAGTTTTTACCCAGGGGATGAACAACAACGGCCCCCCAGTTGATCTTAACTTACTCCGTCAGGCCCCATATTCAGAATGGTCAGTCTTTGGACATAGACCAGTCTTTGTATAAGGGGGATATATGGTCTATGTCAAAGCACAGGACAAGGAGCGCTATTCCTGGCTGTACCATTGACTCATTGTTAGCCAGGAATTTTCAAAAGTGGCCATGACATCTGGTGCCTTAGTATTTGGCTATCCAACCTGAGACACCAGGGTCTGGTTTTCAGAGCTGCTTAGATCCTGCAGCTGCAGTTGACTTCAGTATAAATTGAAGGTGTCCTGCCCCTCTGAGAAGGACCAGACCCTAGATCTATTGCTGCCGTCAGTTCCTGTATGCTTTCTATTATGTAACTAGGTTTTTTTGGGTGACATACAGAGCTGGGTGGAAAATGGTTTTCCCATCCCTGGAAGATTTTTGATATTTTATCCTGTCCCAGGATGAAAAATCAAAATCTTGAAAATTTTTGCAAATGAAAAAATTAACAAGACCTCCAGGTCAGGTCAAACATTTGGTTTCGACCTTTTTAAAATTTGTTTTACATTGAACTATGAATTAACTTAAATTTTGAAACAAAAAGTCATTTTGGACCGAACGAGGGAAACTTTGAAAAGGTCAAAACCAGCTTTAGTGATGTGAATGGTGCCGGGCAGAGTGGGATAGCTACCTTGTACGATATGGGGAACCGGCTCTCTTTACTGATGGCCAAGACAACCAGTTGCTCATGGGCGGTGGGTATCAAAGGCCGGGGGAGGCTGAGCCTCCCCAACCAGCCTTGTGTGGTCCTGCCCACGCTCTGTCCCCAGGCTCCCCCCTGCTTCCCAGCGCTCTGCAGCTCTTCCCCCGTGGCCTGGGCCCCGGCTGGGGCTAATGGGGGCTGGCCTGTGGCCAGGGACTCCGGGCGGCTGGAGCCGGTGCACATGCTTGCCCACCCGCCCAGCGCTCCGGGGTTGGGGTCGCTGGGGGCTGCGCCGCCTGCCCAGTGCTGGGGGGCTTTGTGCTCCGGCAGGGGAAGGGGGAGAGGAGGGATGGGGCCTCGGGCACAAGGGGCGGGCCGGAGCTAGCCTCCCTGAACCTGTGGTTCACTCGCCGCCCATGCAGTTGCTACATCTCTTCCAGCCCTACCATCCCAAGAAGCAACATTTTATAAGAAAGGCCAACAGGCCAGTGCATTTCTGAGGCACCATGGTCTTCCTAAACCTCACCTCCATGTGTCACCACTTTCATGTAGGGTTTGATCATCTGCAGATCAATGCGGTGTTCCTGCTCCCCAATGATAACCGTCCTCCACAGTCTCCCATTGGTAGCGCTGCCATCTTCCACCACCCCATCCCCAAAGAGGTCTGCGCTGTTCCCGGGCATGTTCTTGGCTGTGGCCACAGGTGTATCATCTGGAAGAGGGAAAGTGAAAACGCTGGTGAGCTTCTCCTGGAGACTGGGCAGAGGTCTAAGGTGCTTATCTAGGCAGCGCTGTAACGAAGGGCTGGTCTACACTGAAAACTTACATCGGCATAGCTATGTCTCTCCGGGTGTGAAAAATCCCCCCCTCCCCACAATGAGAGACTGTGACAATCACAAACGGAGAGCCTGTCACCTCAGGATGGGATGCAGAGATAAAAATTTCTAGACACCATTAATGACGGCCAACTGAAGCAGCTAAGCCTGGAACCCACAACGGGAGAGGCAATTCTTGCTTTAGTCCTAAGTGATGCACAGGATCTGCTCCAAGAGGTGACCATAGCTGAACCGCTCAGTAATAGCGACGATGATGTAATTAAATTTAACATCCTGGTAGCTCCATTGACTTCACCGGAGCGCTGACAATTGACTACAGCTGAGGCGGTGCCATACCGTCAGCCCTGAACGTACTGAGGGCAAACGGTATACAATGGAGCTACATGTCACAGCCAGGGCCACCGAGAGCGGGTTCGGGCCCTGGTGAAAATTTTTTTCGGGCCCCCCAGCAAGGGTGGACGGGCTAAACAGGGCTGACGAGACGGGGGGGGGGGGGAAGCCGGGGAAACCGGGCCCCCTTCCGGAATTTTTTCAGGCCCCCCAGCAAGGGCGGACCGGCTGAACAGGGCCGACGAGACGGGGGGGAAGCCAGGCCCCGGTAATTTGTACCAGCTTCCCCCCCACCCATCGGCCCTGGTCACAGCTGGAGAACAGCAGAGTCAAAAGAAAGAGGGTTGAAGTTAATCCAAGACAAGCCCCAAGTCCTAGCGAAATCCACCCCACGTTGGCCTTTTACCTTCCCATTCCAGTTCATTCCCATTGCCCAGGAACTCCAGGGAGTCCGTCTCATCCGGGGTTTCGATGTCATCCACGTTGATGTCCAGGTCGTCGGGCGTGTCCAGGAAGTCATCGGACAGGATGGAACCCTCACTTTGGTCCAGGGAAATGTTGATTTCAGGGGCTATGAGCGTCTTGCGCTTCCGATGAGCCCCGTTAAAGTTCAAAGTGTTAGGGGGAGCTGCAAGGAAAGAGGAAAGTAAGCGTCAGCTTGTCCTGATCATCCACCTTGCAGCAAGACTTTGCTTTGCCAGATCCTTGCATCAGCGCGGCAGCCTTACACGCCTGTGCAGTGAGTCGTTTTATCCCCATTTTAAAGGGGGGTTAAACTGAGGCACAGAAAGGTTAAGCACGTGTCCAAGCCACGAGAGTGAGTCAGTGGCAAGAGTCAGGAGTAGAAGGCAGGTGTCCTGACTCACAGCTCTCTGTTCTAATGAGGTCCCGGCACACTACAAAATACAGCCCTACTTTTGAAGTGCTCACAAAGTCATTCCTCGCCGAGCTGGGCAGGTTACTGAGACTGAACTTTCTCTGGGTCCAGAGTCTTTGTTCAGTTAATAACACTTAGCATTAACATAGTGCTAACTAATTGATCTTCACGAGCCCCCACGAGACAGGTCAGAATCATTATTGCCATTTTACAGATGGGGAAACCGAGGCACAGAGGCCCTAGCTATACCGAGCAGGAAACTGTGGCTGAAAACTCGATTAAAATATAAATAACCATAAGAATAGACCAATTTGGGGCCCAATGATGCTAGCACCCGTATTTGAGCCTAGTTAAAAGCCTGATAATTGTTTGATCTCTGGAACCCTTGCTATGGCTGATTGGTGATGGTGGTTTGCTGACATCACGGAGGAGGCAGCATGGGACAGTGAATTAAATATATGGCTGTGAGGAAGAAATTCCTGAGTGCTCATTCTGGCTCTGTCACTGACTTCCAGGTAGGGCCTTAGCCCAGTCACTTGTGCTCTCAAGTCCTGTCTATGATGCTAAACACGCTCTTATCTTTGGGAAAGTCTACTCTCAATAGCCAATCTCAACGAACGCTGCAGAGCTCAAAGCATGGGGGTGAACAGAACAACTTTTCCTTAAAGGATAAACTAACCAGATAAAATGAAGCGAGGGAACGAAGATGGTTGGGGCCACTAATGCAACCGTCTTTTTGTGCAGCGCCTAGCACAATGTATAGCACCCAGTCCTGGCGCTCCTAACTGCCACAGCAATGCAAAGAATAGATAGAATCACAGAAATCAGGGTTGGAAGGGACCTCAGGAGGTCATCTAGTCCAACCTGCTGCTCAAAGCAGGACTAATCCCCAGACAGATTTTTGCCTCAGATCCCTAAATGGCCCCCTCAAGGATTGAACTCATAACCCTAGGTTTAGCAGGCCAATGCTAAACCACTGAGCTATTAATAAGGATTGGTCCTTAGGGTTCTTATTCTCTCCCTATTAAGCAAGTGCTAAATAATATTCTGGCTCCGTTCGTGGAGCGTGTGGAGCCGTTGTCTCTGCTCTGTTCTGCCGGCGTCCAGGCGCACGGCAAAGCTCAATTCAATAATTGCAGTGAGTGTTCCGGGCTGAACTCTGGTCTGAGCCAAGTGAATTACAGCCGTAATTGCTCAGCTTCTCAATGAGCATCTGGCTTTTCAAACTCTTCCGGCTGCTTTGCAGCAACTCACTGAGGCTGCAGGTGCCAGCTGGATGGAGGCCACGGGGCATCGCACTCGAGGAAGCTGAGAGGGATGGGACATAATTTGGAGGGGCTGAACCCCCCACAATTCCAATAGGAGTCCATGGGAGTGCTCAGCACTGCGAAACTGCCTGTTTTCCCCCCTTGTGACTCTGCAACACACTCAAATGGTTCTTGGTTTTGTCCCCCAGGCAAGATTTTTTGCCGGGAATTTGTTCTCTCTCTTCTCTAACCACGGCCTGCTGCCCACTGGGCTCAGCCAAATACCCTCGACAAAGCCCAACGAGGCAAGGCTGATACTTACAGGATGTGTTCTCATCTGCGGGGCTGCCCAGGGAGTCCATTCCCGTCTCTTCTGGGAGGGGTCTGCAAACCAGCCAGAGCAGAGGGTCCAGGAGGCAAAGAGAGCACCATTAGCAGGAGATGCCACTATTAAAGTCCGTTCATCCCAGCTCCCTGGGCTTCATAACGACTATCTTTAAGTATATTAGGCCCATCGTATTTATCAAATTCAAGGTACAACATCATTTAAAAATCCATCAGGAAGAAGTCCCCCACCCTAATACCAAATAGGACAGGACCAGTTATCCTCAAGTCAATGCCTCCTCCCACCCAACTCCCTAGCAAAAGAGATCAATTCCCAATGGATGCAAAGGAGTAGAGGGGAAAACGGGTCAGAGGTGCAAAAAGCTCTGGAGCGAGCCACAAAATGGACAAGAAGAGACCAGCCAAAGAAGATAGGATCTGCCATGTATCCAGAATAAGTAGGCAGTGAAGAACCCCAGGGAAGAGAGTCTCTCAATGCAAAGAGCTCTGGATTGAGATAGATCTAGTCCGAGACTGGTTCAATGTGAATCTAGGGATGGAGGACAATAGATCTACCTTGGCCAACTCTAACTGCTGGGCAGGGGTGTAGGGTCAGAAGAGGCCTTCAGCTCGGAGTATGAGGAGCTTTAGAAGCTAATACTTGATACTGAGCTAGAAAGCTACTGATCAGTTGGCTTTGCATCCCTGACCTTATACGCATGGGCAGATGGGGCCACCCACAATGGAGTGAGAGATCGATAGCATTGTTGATGCACTGGAGAGCATTTCAACCAGACGCAATAGTTGAGTTGGGTCCATCCCATCTGGAATAGACTGGGCACAACCTAATCAACGGCCATTTATTTTTATAGCATTTTGCATCCCAAGGTGGAACTATCTATATGAACACACATACTTACACACACACACACTCACACGCATCACATCCCCACTGAAATGCAGCCACTTCTGGGGTGCGAGGCAGCAGCCAGACACACTGCCGCCACTCAGCAAGGAGAGTGGACATTTTAGCCAAGGGCAACAGAGCAAACTCTCTTTTACCCCCAAAAGTGCCAAAAGATGTCCTCGCTCTCCCTTATTAAACTGCATGAAACCCATGTTCGTGTCCTGTGAAGGATGAAGGCTTGTGTCAAACCTACAGGGATTTGAGTTTGTGGCACTAGGGAATCTATAGATTCCAAGTTTCAGAGTAGCAGCCGTGTTAGTCTGTATCCGCAAAAAGAACAGGAGTACTTGTGGCACCTTAGAGACTAACAAATTTATTTCAGCATAAGCTTTCGTGGGCTACAGCTCACTTCTTCGGATGCATAGAATGGAACACACAGACAGAAGATATTTATACATACAGAGAACATGAAAAGGTGGAAGTACCCATACCAACTGTAAGAGGCCAATCAATTGAGATGAGCTATCAGCAGCAGGAGAAAAAAAACCTTTGAAGTTTGATGTTTCAGCTACTAAATTACTGCCCCCAGCAGTGTGTGAATTAACCCTGAGATGCACATGAGGAACATACCTAGTCGGAAACCCTCATCCATCATCTCCAGTGTCCGTCCGTGTCACATCTATTAATGGAGGAGGCGCCTTCAGGAACTAAGGTCTGAGGAACGCTTAGCTTCTGCAGAAGGAGACTCTGACCTATTTGATGGCTGCTGTGTTAACCCTCCGCCTAAAGCTCCCCTTTGCCAACCTTAAAGATGGGATGTTGACGGACAGGTGAGTCTAGCAGAGCTGCTGAACCTGGACAACCTGTTCACTCCCCTGCTTGGTGGATTCTGGTAGGGAGGTATTGTTTAGCCATTCTCACTATGGCAAGGTGCCTTACACCCTTGTTTCCTTGCCCACCCAGATGAGGCTCCTCCCTGAATCGAATAATAATAATAAAGTATTCACATAGGAGACCCAGTCATGGGCCAGGGCCCCATTGTGCTCGGCAAACACAGAACAAAAAGATGGTCCATGCCCCAAGGAGCTTCCAATCAAAGTATAAGACAAGACACAGCAGATGGAGACAGTCCAATGGAGGAGCACAGGGAAACAGTGAGACCAGCGTGATAGGTTGTGGTCTTAGCACAGCAGCAGCCGGGCTGTTGTCAAGTTTTACGCATTCCAATGTGCATTGAAATGTTCTCCTGGGTTTTCATTTCAAGATTCTGGTTTGGATTTAACCCTTCCCCGGCTGTGTCTGCAGCCCAGACAGCACGGCCTTGTGGGGGTCCCTTGACAGCCGGAAGGGGAAACCGACTAAAGACAACGCCACGCAGGAGCCTTGGAGCTCAGCCACTCGACGGGCTGCACTCGCCCGTTGGCTGCTGCATTCACCCACCCTGGCCTTCCCTGGAGGAGCCCACAACCTTCCTGTGTCCTGCCAAGAAGGGAGCCTTGGAGGGTAAAGTGAACAGACTCTGGGCACGTCAGCACCCACCCTGGGCCGGTTAGCTGGGGCCTGACTTCATACTTCTGCCCAAGGAAGGTGGGGGGGAAATGTGGCCCGTGGCATAGGCGGCACTTTGCAATTTTTCTACCCACAACTCTGCAAGCTGCGCCCCAGCCCTATCTGCAACATACCCCCGCGACTGCCTTTTACTCGTTCTCTTCAAGGCACATGGGTGGTGGGTGGAGCCACCTTCGGGGAGGCTAGCCCTGGCTCCGCCCCCCCTTCCTGCCCCCCCCCCCCCGCAGCCAGAGCCCCATGCCCCGTACGCCCCCCGTGCTCGGAGGAGCCCTGAGTTCCACCCCCTCGGCTGCAGGAGCCCTGAGCCCCACCCCACCTGCCCAGAAGAATCCTGAGCCAGCTGCAGCCGCGCCGTGTCGCCCCTCCCCAGACCCCAAGCCGCCCGGGGAAAAGGGTCTGGAAGAAGCTTTGGCTAGGCCCCAGGCAGGTTCCGGGGCAGCTGAGCAGGCGGGACTTGCTACTCAATCCAGAGAGATTACTGAGGAACCCAGGAAGCTGAATAGCACATATCACCTCCTCAGCCGCCCCGGAACCTGCCTGGGGCATAATAAATCAAAAACTTCTCCCCAAAACCCCACAACCGGGGGTCTGGTGGCAGCGCCAGGGGGCGCACAGCCTCCCCTGGCCTATTCTACCCGCCGCCCTTGTCAAGGCACCTTGCAGATATTAACTAACGAACCCTTCCAGTATTATTGTGGCCTTTATATGGGTGGGGAAACCGATGCCAAGAGGTGAGGTGATTGGGGCAAAGGGAGTCCGTGGCCTTAAAACTCAGGAGAACTCGGCACCTCCATGCTAGGCTCTGGCTCAAGCCTCTCCCATTTCTATCCTGGCCCTCCCTTGTGCAGAAACTGATGATTCCCCACAAAAAAAGCTGCCCTGGTTTTGTAATACACACAACCAGGACCCAGGCACACTGTATCATTTCCCTACACAAGAATTTCCAGCCATGTCTCGGGGAGCAAAAGGCCAGGGCGCTCACTCACTGAGCAATACTGCAGCTCCGAGTCACAGCTCCAGAGGCAGCTTCTGACTTTCGGCCAGGCCGTAAACCTCCCTTTTCTGCAGGATGGTCGTTGCTAGCAGGAGGTTCAGCCATGCCAACGTAACAGAAAGCTTTGCTTTCAGATGCAAGGGCCAGGGCCAGATTCTGCACTCAGTCACACAGGTGCAAGTCCTGCGTCGTTTCAAGGAAGCCCGTGGATCTACCCGGGTGTCAATGAGATCAGAATCGGGCCCACACTTTGCATATGTTAAGCAACACGTCTCGCCACGTCCACTTGTAGTCTGCCCTGCTGAGCTACGTAGGCTCTCGCCGGCGCGTGAATGAGGTATGTTATTCTGACGTTCTGCACGCTGTGCAAAACGCCAGGCTGCGTTCCTTCTGCCTGGTGCCTAATAGCCCGAACTAGAACTTGCGATCCACTATCCAGGGCTTGCTAGGGGCTGCGGTGTGAAGATTTGCGAGTTCAGGGACGGCGCCCCACAGAACAGGCCAGTCTCAGAGCAACCCCGTGCTTGTTTTACCTGGTACATTCAAGCAAGGGGGATAGACTTCACGTGCCCTACAAAGCTAGAGAGACTGCCCTTTGCACTGACACGCCGCCACAACCATCAAATTAAACTGTATAACTATTCAGCTGAAGGGATGATCCCCTTGGAGCCAGGTTGTTGTATATTAATGAGTGCACGAGTTCTGATTAAAGGCACATTGGCCCTGCCTCTAAGATCCAGCCCAGTGCCCGGCAGACAGCAGTACCCTAAACCGGTAAGAAATAAGAATATTCCTAGATCAGTGCAAAAGATCCACCAGACGGACGGACACACACAGACATGTGCGTGGATGGGGACACACACACACACACACACACACACACACACACACACTGTCTGTCACACACACACACACACACATACACACACACACTGTCTGTCTCTTTCACACACACACACACACACACTGTCTGTCTGTCTCACACACACACACACACACACACACACACACACACACACTCACACACACACACACACTGTCTGTCTGTCTCACACACACACACACACACTGTCTGTCTCTCTTTCCCTGGTTGGTTCTGTGACTGTGGTCTGACCCTCTGATGCCTGACACAGTCGGGTGATGCACTGTCAAAAAAACAAGCCATCTGGCTTGGGTGTAACAAAATACTCGCTGCCGTGCGGCTCGGGGGTTTATGACGCTGACGCGGGATTTCAGATCCTTTTCATTTAGCAATAGAATCCGTCTAAAAGTCAGAGGGACGGGGTCTTCCTTACCTTTCCAAAGGACGCTTAGACTGCTGTCTCCCACTTCCTAGGGTAAGTCTGCCCTTGGATTTTCCTTCCCACACAGCTAGCTTAAGAATCTTTCCCTTTTCCAGAGTTTCCTGAACAAAGCAGCTTTTCTAAGGGTCATGGGCCACCATTTTGCTCCGTACTGATCATCTGATGGCCAGTTTCACCCTATAAGGCACCTGCTCTCAGGCGGCGAACAGCCTGCGCCTCTGCTGTGATTAGATGGATGCTAGAGTCCCAGTGAGCATGCTCCTGCATCCACCCTCTCGCATCGCTACAGCATCAGGGCAGGACCGGAGTCACACAAACAGCTGAGACATACTGGAGCCAGGAGATTAGACCTCCAGGGAGCTCTAGGGAAGAGGGGGAGGAGTCTCTTCTTGCTGGTGCCACTTAGCTCATTCTCAGCCTGGGTGACACCCCTTTGCTACCAGGGAACAGGAAATTCACCCCAAGAACCGGCTGGCTATGGGGAACGTTCACATTCTGCCCTTTGCCAGGTCACCCAGCGGGGATCTTTGTAGGGACAGCCTGCACCTTCGGAGCCAGAGGGGCTGATGGCAGCTAAGCAAATACAGCTGCTCAGCACATCATCCAGCCGAGAGATACGGGCTCAAAGGCAAGCCGGAAGGGACAGTCTTTGTGATTTGAGTGTGAAAATACCTTAAAATAAATTCTCCAACGCCAGCTAAATTCTGTAGGGGCTCATGTGTCATGTGACAGGCTTGGTTAGGTTGTATTTACATTAAAGGTTAACCTCTTTCCCTGTTTAATCCCTATGCAGTAGGCGGGAGTGTGGTCTAGCGGCTAGGCCAGGGGGCCTGGTATTCAAGACACCTGGGCTCGGTTCACAATGCCGCCACTGATTTGCTGCGTGGCCTTGGGTACGTCACCTCAGCTCTTTGTGCTTCCGTGTCCTAGTCTGCAAAATGGGAATAAAGGCTATCGACCCTCCTTGAGATCGAGGGGGGAAACCCACGAGAAGTGCTACGTTATTATGACAAGATCGCGAATTTGCTGCAACTGAAGAAAATGGGGCTTTGCGGCTCCTGCAGAGACATAGCAGTGTGACCTAGTGGCTAGTGCACTGGACCGGGACTCAGGAGACGCGGGCCTGTTGGCCACTGTGTTTGTACAGCACCAAGCACAATGGCGGGGGCGGTGTCTGAGCTCAGTTGGGATCCTAGTCCCTCTAGATGCTTCCGTCATAGAAATAACAAGAACGTTTGGGAGAGTCACGACTGCTGTCCAGGCTTGCGGCAGATCTCCGGCTCAGGGCTGGCTTGCTTTCTCATGAGCTCTTTGCCATTTTGGGGCCCCTGTCCCTCCCTGAAATAAGCGAGGGCTGTTCCCATCTTCTAGCAACACAAAGGCCTGGCTGAGTCTCATTCTTGTGCGTGGGGAGGCCGCCGAGTGAACAAAACCGAGCGGGGTACCGTGGGCTGCAGACAGAGGTGCTTGGATGAGCCCTGCAGCTGGGACTTGCATGAACAGGGCCAAGCGAATCATCCAACAACAAGGAGAACAGGAGACCTCTGACTACAGTGGTTGGCCTTGCCAGGGTACCGCACTTAACAGGCCGAATTACACAGCGGGCCCACTGTCCTATGAACACAGGGTGGCTGTAGCCCCGGCGGTAGCAATTCCGCTGCAGCTGGGAAGAGAGGATCGCTACTTGGAAGGCGTCCTCACAGCATTCAGGCAGCACTGCTCCACCCCATTCATCAGTGCCAGCTGCACGCTGTGTCCCGAGGGATACGCACGGGTGTAGCCAGGTGCTGGGGACAGGCTGAAGACTGGAGCTGGGAGAGATGGGTTCTGTGCTAGGGGCAAAAATTCAGATCGGGTGCGAGTGGGTGCAACTCCGTGTTTCTCTACATGGCTGGCTGACAGCCCGGTGGGGGAGCAGTCAGGACCTGATTCTGCAACTCAGAATGGGCGTCGTGTAGCAGTTATTCACCCAAGAAGTCCCATTGACTTCAATCGCCTCACTGGGGCTGCTCGCTTGAGTAAGTACTTGCAGAATTGCTACTCCCTGCATCTTAGACGAGAGAAGGAGGCATGTCCAGTTTGCTAACTATCACCTGACCACCAGGCCCCTCACCCTGGTATCTGAGTGCCCAAGGAGGTGTGAGTGTGATGCAAGATTATTGCCACGCAAACATTTAAAAAAGGGCGTGAGCCATCCTTGCAAATTCCCTGCTCTCAGTGACCGCTTGCCTGAGCACCTGCTTGTCAGACCCAGGTGTCCTATTGCTCTCTAGTACCATTTCCCCTGGCCTTTAGCTGCAGCTTTACCAGAACAGACCTGGGGAAGTCCTCGTCTTGCCACTCCTCCTTCACCTCCACATTCTCCATCCGCAGCGTGGCTTCGGTGGTGCCCATCGCGTTCGGGGGGAGATTCCGGCCGCACTGGGTTTCACCTGCCGAGGGGCTCGGTCTGGAACAGGAAACACAGCGGCATGCAAACTCAGGAGCGTGGGATTTTTGATTCTGGCCTATTCCAACATCAGAAGCCATTTGGAAAATTTAGCTCCAGATGTGGGTCGGGGGTAGGGGGAGTCTTCAGATCTGACGTGACTCTCTAGACTTTCTACATAAACCACAGTGGCTTTATAACAGCATGAGCCACTGAGCTCCTGGGCGTGGTGGTTTGGGGGCTATCAACCCCCCTGGATAAAAACAAGTCAGATGGTCCTGGAACACAGGCTCTGTATAAAATGCGACCGCAGCAAACGGCTTATCGCTCACCCTTTGAGAGGCTAGTTCTGAGCAGAGCCATCGCAGTGATCCGCAGGGACCCAGCACGCTCCGTTCTGTGGCGTGCAGGCTCACCTTTCGGATTTTATTCTGCCGTACGACTAATATTGACGTTAACCAACACGCTCGCCAATGGAAATTCAATACAGGTTTCAAGGATAACAATACAAGATCACTTTCAGGTTCTGTGGCACTGACACCTGTTTCTATTTTGCTGTCTCCTGTGGATGTGAATCTCGTCTGTCGCACAGAGAAATTTCGGGGCGATGTGCTGTATTGCTAAGCCCCCCCGCACTGAGAGAGGAAGAGAGGGGTCTATGAGGAAGGCCTTCTGTGAGGAAGACCCTGGCTCTCCTTCACTCAGGAGATACACGTGTTAGCCTTGTGACATTCATCACTTGTCCGGGGTCCCATTTTTATAAAAACATATGTCAAACCATATAGGGACATGTCTGCGTATGGGCCTTGGCTCTGCGCCCCGCTTCCATGTGGTTTATACTGACGTAACTCCAGTCACGTCAGGGCAGTCACTCCTGATCCACGCTAGTGCAAGGGAAGGCAGAATCAGGACCAACAGGGTCTAGTTCTCAATTACATTCCGGCCTCTGGCAGTGCTAAGGTGTCTCAGAGTGACAGTGACTGTAGCTGACTCTCGCTTTGTGACCTCTTTACGCTGCCGGTCAAGGAGAATCATGCCCATCATATCTAGGGCCTGCCCCTATATTCCTTGCACACCTAAAGCTCGAAATGAAGTCAGTAGGAATTTAGAGCGTGCAAGGATTCAGGATCAGGACTGCATGTTGTCAGATCCTTTAGCAAGGCCCCATATACTCCTCTGTTGACCGGATTCCCTTCCCATTGATCTCAATAGCAGCTGAATTTAAAGGGAGCAGGATGAGGCCCACTGTCAGAGCTGAATGACCGACATGACACACCTGCACATAAGCGCGGCCAGCATGAAAGGCACATGAATGTTCAGGCTGAATCCAATGTGCGTGAGCTGTCTGTGTATTTAGGGTCGGCCAAATAGTAACATATTCTTAATTCAACGGGCCAGATCCCAGTCTCAGTTACATCAGCGTCAAGCCACTAAAGCCAGTGTTGCTCCTCCGGCCCACTCGATGCTGTTCGTGAGAGCCAGTGCGGTTCTGAGGCCCTTTCTAAAGAGGGCCTCCATGATGATGGATAAGCAGGAGACGCAGTTCTGTCTGCCTGCTGCTTTAAGGTGGTAAAACTCTATGGATCACCAAGGAAATCCGGTGTTCGGATTTACTGTGGACATTCTCAGAGGTAGGAGCCAGCCCCGGAGGAGGCTGGCAGAGAGCTGTGTGGCGAAGGGTTACTGCGTTCTCCCCACCCTCCCTCTGTCTGTGGGGCGCTTCCTGCATTACATATTTGTCTTTATCCTGGTGCATTGCCGGCTGCGCTGCCCGGGAAAGGAGCGTATTGGTGCTGAGGGATGATTTCCTAGCATGTAGGAACCAGCCATGCCCCAGCGCCGATGCAGATCCGAAAGCTCTAATCCCCCTTCCACAATCCCTTCAAAGCACGACGGAGGAAAAAACACCCCAAGAGCCGGACCCAGTGTCTCCATCATCAACCCTTTCCCCAGCAGAACGGAAGCACGGACGGCCTCTTGTACTTACCCTCTGAGGGTCTCTTCTTGCTACTGAGGAACAAAGACGCTCTCCCCTGTATTCCAGCTGGGCATTCCTCCTTCTGTAGCAGGGGGCTCCTTAGGACGTCCAGGATTGGAATAAAAACACCGCTGGGCCAGGCTGCGGAAGAAGGAGCTGCATCAGTGCTGGCCTTCAGTGCGGGAGCTGGCCTTTTGCTTTGGAAATGGATGGCAGTTATTTGTATTCTCTGAACACGGGCCGGGCCCACGGCCGCTTGCTCTGCCTCAGAGGTATTTGGTTATTTGCAGCGCACAGCTGGCTAAGCCCCAGCTCCCTTAAGACAGCTAATTGCAGTGCTTTTGTGTGCGGGGAAGGACGGGAGGGAGGGGTGTGGGTGGGTGGAGAGCTAGCAGCATAAAGCACCCCCTTTTCAGTGCCGCGTCGCCTCTGATTGGATAGGGGAGAGCAAATGTTTCCACAGCCTCTCCCTTGGCATCTTGAGCATCCTCAGCCCCTGGCAGGATCCGGCCCAGGAAGAGAGGGGCGGGGGAAGAGCTGTTTAATATAGAGCATCATTGGCTAAGGAAAGGCAAAGGCGGAGTGGTCCAAGGCAGGTTCTCTGTCTCCAGTCTCTCTTCCCCCCCGAGCATCTCTCTGCACCTGGAACAGAGGGGCTCTCCCTGCTGCTGGGAGCTGGAGTGGGGGTGGCTAGGAGGGCCACTGGGGAAGTGCAGCCCCCCAGAGGGTTTGGGGGGAGCTGAAAAGAATCGGCTCTGAGGAAGGGGGAGGATGGAAGGCAGGTCTGTGCAGATGCAGCCCAGAGCAGATGGCAAGTGGAAATGGCACCAGCTGAAGATTTAGGCTGGGGGGGGGGGAGTTTACAAAGGGGTGGATCTAGGGTGTCCAAACCCCCACTGTCAATGGGAAGCAGGTGCCCGATTCCCTTAGGCGCCTATGAAAATCCCTGCTTCTGTTTCAGCCAGGTTTTTGGAAACTTTCCTCGGGCTTCCAGGAAAATGCTGTTTTGAATGCCAGGTGTTACTGCTGAGATGCAGGTGTCCGCTGGTGAATTATTATTATTATTGATGATTTGTATCACTGTAGGGCACGGACCAGGGCCCCTTGCGCGAGGGGCTGCAAAGGCACAGGACAAGAAGATGTTCCCTGCCCCACAGCTAACGGACTGGCTCCCAGCTACTGGCATCCAGCGCATCAAGTAAAGCTTTATAGTCTTTGAGATCATCCATTCTGCCCCTCCTTCCTTACTGAAATGCTTAATGTTGTGTAGCTCAGGGCTGGGCAAACTTTTTGGCCCGAGGGCCACATTGGGGTTGCAAATCTGTATGGAGGGCCGGGTAAGGAAGGCTGTGCCTCCCCAAACAGCTTGGCCCCTGCCCCCTATCTGCCCCCTCCCACTTCCCGCCTCCTGACTGCCCCTCTCAGAACCCCTGACCCATCCAATCCCCCCGCCCCTTGTCCCCTAACCGCCCCCTCCTGGAACCCCTGCCCCTAACTGCCCCTGGGATCCCACCCCCTATCCAACCCCCCTGCTCCCTGTCCCCTGACTGCCCCGACCCCTATCCACACCCCTGCCCCTTGACAGGCTCCCCGGGACCCCATGCCTATCCAACCCCCCCTGTTCCCCATCCCCTGCCCCCTATCCACACCCCTGCCCCCTGACAGGCCCCACAGGACTCCCACACTTATCCAGCACCCCGCCCAGCGTCCCCTGACCATCGCCCAGAACCTCCGCCTCATCCAACCGCCCCTGCTCCCTGTCTCCTGACTGCCCCCCAGGACCCTCTGCCCCTTATCCACCCCTCCAGCCCCGGCCCCTTTACCATGCCGCTCAGAACAGCATGTCCGGCAGCCGCGCCGCCAGACCGGAGCCAGACACGCTGCCGCTCTGCTCGGCAGGAGCACGCAACCCCGCTGCCCAGAGCGCTGCCCGCGGAGCGGCGTGGCTGCGGTGGGGAGGAGGGGGACAGGGGGACAGCGGGGGAGGGGCGGGGGGCTAGCCTCCCTGGTCAGGAGCTCAAGGGCTGGGCAGGATGGTCCTGCAGGCTGGATGTGGCCTGTGGGCCGTAGTTTGCCCACCTCTGCTCTAGCTAGATGATATAATACTCTGATGGAACAACTAAGCAAATCCAGTTCCCCAGCCCCATCCTTGCACATTAGGAGGGGTTGTTGGGGTGACATGCCAAAGATGGGTTGGGCAGGGCTCCCCATTTCTTAGCCACACCCATTCCCCTCCTTTTCTTTGCACTGGTTTGGTGCCAATCCTATCATGCACAGCCCCGGAATCCACGTTTGTTCTGCTGAATTGAGGGCTTCCAGCTGCCCTTCTGCTGATGGAGAGTTGCCAGGATGAGTCGGAGGCTTTGGGGCAGGAATCTTGCCAGCGATCACGATTGAAAGGCTTTGCAGGAGGAGCGGGTCTTGAAGAGCGAAGTGAGCGAGGAGCAGGAGGGAGTGGTTGGTCACTTGAGAAGCAGGAGTCCATCTGATGCGTCTTTGCTCTTTACAGAACATTAAGCATAAACCTTAACTACGGCCGAGCTGGGTTCCAACTACAAACACTAACTGCAGTATATACATACATACAAGCCCCAGTTACACCTACGCGCCCTTGCCCTGTTAGGTTTTGGTGGCTTCTGCAGGAGAAGACAAGGAAGCTCACACACTATTTAAAGGCATCATACCCAGTTCCTAGGCACTACACTTTCCCAAGACTAAACTGGGACAATGAGCGAAGGGTCACTTTAGAACATGACAGCTCAGATATTGCGGATCAAAGTGGGTGTGGGAATAACCAGCGGAGAGGAACATTTCGGTGTTTTCTTCTCTTTTGTTTTTGCACAAGAAACATTTCCCTCTTTTGCAGTTTTGTGGCAATCGAAGCCTCATGCAAAGCTTATGAATGCCACCTACTGGCTCTTGCTCCTTTAACTATTGTCTCCGTGTGCTTCTTGCTCAGGCTTCTTATCAGTCCGGTCATTTGCTAAA